ACATACACTATACATACAACACTCAGGGTTCCACACATCAAACATCATACATTTTACATACATACAAACATTCAATATGCATGTTACACATGTATCACATAGCAAACGAACAACCGTCTCACCCTCAATTTAACCATCTAAGGATCAACCAACAAAACACTTCTCCTGTGATTCAGTCTGTCACCTAAGTCTCCATGTCGTGACGCATTCAGCCCATCACTTGAGTCTCCATGCAGTGATGAGTTCCTAATAAAGTAGTCCATTACCTAAATCTCCATGCAGTAATGAACGAAGTTCAGCACATTGCCTCTAAGCCACAATGTATTTGCAAAACTCATTACATTGCCTCTAAGCCGCGATATATTCTCAAAACTCAGTACATTGCCTCTAAGCCGCAATGTATTTGCAAAACTCAGTACATTGCCTCTAAGCCGCAATGTATTCGCAAAACCCAAACCATCGTCTCAGACTTCATGCAGCGATGCTCGAAACCAAATTTAGCTTATCGCATCATACTTCACGCAGCGATTTGCGAACCTAACCCATTGCCTCAGACTTCATGCAGCAATGTGTTTCTTTATTCCACGCTCTAGACCATTGTCTCAGACTTCATGAAGCGATGTCTGAAAACTAAATCTAGCTTATCGTCTCAGACTTCACGCAGTGATTCGCGAATCTAATCCATTGCCTCAGACTTCGTGCAGCAATGTGTTTCTTTATTCCAAGTTCTAAACCATTGCCTCAGACTTCATGTAGCGATGTTCGAAAACCAAAATATGGCCTATCGCCTCAGACTTCACGCAGCGATTTGCGAACCAAATCCATTACCTCAGACTTCATGCAACAATGTGTTTCTTCATTCCAAGCTCCAGGTCATCGCCTCAGACTTCATGCAGCGATATTCGGAAAAAAATTTAGCTTATCGCCTCAGACTTCACACAGCGATTTGCAAACCTAACGTATTTCCTCAGACTTCATGCAACAATGTGTTTTTTTATTTCAACACAGACCATCGCCTCAGACTTCAGGCAGCGATGTCCGAAAACCAAATTTAGCTATCGCCTCAGACTTCACGCATTGATTTGTGAATTTAACCCATTGCCTCAGACTTCATGCAGCAATGTGTTTCTTTATTCCATAAAATTCAGCCTATCGCCTCAGACTTCATGCAGCGATGCTCGAAAGAAAACAAAACTTCAACCCATTGCTTCAGTCTTCATGCAACAGTGTGTTTCTTTATTCCATAACACAGATCATCGCCTCAGACTTCATGCAACGATGCTCGAAAGAAAACAAAACTTTAACCCATTTCCTCATACTTCATGCATCGATGCTCGAAAGAAAACAAAACTTTAACCCATTGCCTCAGACTTCATGCAACAATGTGTTTCTTTACTCCGTAACATAAACCATCGCCTCAGACTTCATGCAGCGAGGCCCAAAAATACAAGATTTAGCCTATCGCCTCAGACGTCATACAACATTCGCAAACATAACTCATGGCCTCAATCTTCAAGCAGCCATGTATCATCAACTATTGTTGTATTCATCCTCCAAATGGATGAATAATCAAAAACCAAACCAAGACATATGAAATTGCGCTCTTAAAACCATCTGCCTCGTTATCAAACCCTGGCAAGCGATACATTATCAACTTTGCCTATTTCCTTGATACTTGTAACGGTATGCTATATCAGTGTAATCTTATGTTTATCGGACAAATTTTGAGATACTTCAAGTATTCAATAAACTTCCAATCAAAATGCGCAAGACTTGAATTTTCTCACGCTATTCGACTGGAAGATAATTGAATAGGGGCAGCTGTCGTACCCCAAATTTGTCCTACCTCGATGATTTTATTTTTCGATATTAAAATAGAAGAAATATTTAATTAAGGATGATACAGCAGTATCTGATGGTCCATCTTTATCCAAGACTAGGAGGTGTATTTTTATTCGCGGAAATGTGGCTTTCTAAATCAGTAATGTATACGCGAACGTTAGTGAGGCATGTTGGCCAACGGCCCATGCGATTCAAAAATAAAAATTATTCTAATAATTACTGAGTTATTAAATTATTAAGGCGACCTAAGTTTAAGTTGCTCTTAATTAAAAATTAAATGACTTAGCCCATTTTTATCGTTAGTAAAAGGGGAGGTTGAAATTACAATATGCAAGCCCATTAGAATTGGGTCTATTAATGTTTTGGTTGTTGCTAACAAAAAGGGATGGGGTGTGCAAGTTACAAGTCCATTAAAACTCAACAGTTGATTTGATATCTTGTTGTTGTTTTGTTTTAAAGGGAAAAAGAAATTATTATTAAACCCCTTGCTATTACTGTTTAATATATATATATATATATATATATATATATATATATATATATATATATATATATATATATATATATATATATATATATATATATATATATATATATATATATATATATATATATTTTAAAAGAAAACGCAATAAACTTTTTATCATAATAGTGTTTTACTAAAAAAAAATTCAGTAGAGATTATTTATATTATTAAGAGATATTATTTGTAAGATTTATTTAATTATTAAAGGTTGTTTGAAAACAACAACAATTATTTATATTATTAAGAGATATTATTTGTAAGATTTATTTAATTATTAAAGGTTGTTTGAAAACAACAACAATTGGGCCAGATTATATAAAATAGTATTTGCTGCAAAATGTGTTGCTGGATAAACTTTAGTGAGTTGATATTTACTTTTGTTATTAATATCAGAGCCTAGGTGCATTTAGTAAATTTGTAATTCCTGGTTGTAGATTTTATCTGGGTTTGGGTAAGTAAGAGAGTTGTTATCAGGCTTTCTTTTAACATTCCAGTATATCTCCTGATTCTAAACCTAAAGGGATTAAGTTTTGTTTGAAAGCCACCTTCATTGGGGGACACCCTAAGCCACCTTTGATGGGATAATTTTGGGCTGCCTTCATTTCTGCCTATGACACCTTCATTGTACTATGGGGGTTCTAAGTTCCACAATGCCAATAGATATCGCCCCAATGGTGCTTAGGCTTCGAGAGTCCTTTAAGTTGATTATGTGGGGTTGTGTTAGGCCCTACGCCCAAAGTCTGCGGCAATGTTAGAGTCTATCCTAAATCCACTGTTGGCACACCTGTAACCATAGCCTGGGTGTGAAAGTGTCGGCAAGTTGCCTTAATTGTGATCTGATAGAACCCAGAAAAATATGAACAGTGTTATTTACTTCAATTGGTTGAGCTTAAAGCTCTTAAAATGGTGGATGAAACCGAAAAAATAAACCGAGTTCCAAGAACTTCTAAACTAGAGCAAAATTACTCCTAAACCAGAGAATATCTCTCCTAACAAACTTTCTAATTTCCTTACTCATTTCCTTTCCCCTTCCTTTTATAACAGAATATTCCCTAAAATTCAGGGATTATCCTAACTAATTATTAGTCCCTTAGCTTCCACAACTTTCTAGAAACTGTGAGTGTATGGCATGGATGACTTAGGCCCAATAATTAAGTCATCAAATCCATTGGGCCATGGTGTCCAATCATGATCCACCCTTAGCTGCCTCAATTGTGGCAACACATGACTGTATTCATTATAGCCTTTAGCATCTTCATTGTGTTGGATGTGCGAGGGTATATTTAGTCTCGCATTGACTAGATATATGGACTAAGTAGTGCTTATAGGGATTGAGCCATTCTCATCTTACAAGCAAATTTTGTAGGGGTGCGGTAGGCCTCAAGCCAAATTACTTTCCTAGTTCTTGTAGGTTGTAGCCTAACTTATTAGAGAGGCCTACTTAAATTAAACAATTGTAGATTTTTTTCCAGACACATGGTCAATCCAAATTTATAAGATTCCAACATGAAACCTTCTTGATTGATGTTTCAAAATCTAGGCCTGATGTGTAGGTTTATTTTTATTTTTTTCTATCTTATTTTCTTTATTTATTGCATTTATTTGGCAGACACGTCAGTAATTTTTTTGAACAAAGACACATTAATTATTCATCCCATGAAATTCCAGACACCAATCACAGAGGTAATGTGCAGCACCAAATAGCCACAAATTGAACCTAAAATCTACATTGTTGTTTCCAAATTCCTATGAGTAACCAACCTATCCACCATAAACCATTAACCATTAACCAACCATTTGCCTCCTTAGTTTGACCAATAAAACCCTATCAAATCCAGAGCACCTACATTGTTTGCAAATTCTTATCAGTAACCCACGCACCAGAAACCCTAAACTAATCATTGTTATCCTAACTTCAACCAATAAAACACTATTGAGTTCTCAGCACCTGTCTTGCTTGTATCAAATGATGCTAAACCAGTAGAAAATATATTTTACGAAGTTAACTTTACAGTCATGGCAAGGGGAAAATGGAAACTACTAAGACTAGCAAAAAATGACATAAGAATCTTGCCATATATGCAAATACTTAAACATACACTTAAATATGCTACAGTTGTGTGTTTAGCACATGGAGCATCAACAACATTAAAATACATGACTGTAACATGATTTGGTATATACTCTACTCTGTATATGCTACAGTCATGTATTTAGCACATGGAGCATCAACAATACTTAAACATGGACACAGAAAATCTTCAAGGGAAAGATGTTCCTTTTAGTGGAATTCTTTGCATCCATGCATTTGTCATACATATTACATACAAATACAAAACCTTCATCAAATAGGAACAGCAGTCAAGGTAACCTTCAAATATTAAAACATTGGCAGGAAAAAGATGCATACCACAGTACTCCTATTTGCCTCATCCATAAGTGATGCACCAAGAAGCATTTCTCTAATATCAATGGACTGAATCAAGAAACATTGCAATTCAAGACAAAAATTAAAGAAGGAAATTACTTAATTTACATTAAAGACCTATCACCTGCAGAGCTGCTGGAAGCAGACCGACTGCACACATCTCTGATGTTCTACCTCCCACCCAGTCAAACATGGGAAATCTAGCTATAACCATCCTTCAATTCTTGCAGTATTATCCAACAAAGAATTTTCTTGTGTTATAGCAACACCCTGCATTATACCATGAATTAATAGATTATCATGACAGATAAACTGACCAGTGATCACAGATATGCTAGTGATATAGAGCCCATATCATAGAGAAATTCATGACAGTGCATACAAAAAAAAATTAGTAAGTAATAACTGAAAGGTAATGATAAATGAATACTCAAAACCAAGTTCATATTATTATAATATGGAAGTTAGTTGTTCACAATTCAAAGACTTAACCACATTCATCACCTAAACAGTGAACAAGAAACACTAAACAACTCAAGACGTTCAATTATTTATAGACAAAGTAAGAAAATATTTGAAGATGGGGGTTGTAGCAGTGATCCAACAACTGTCTTTAGACTTAAATATATTATCAATCAAAAATAGTTAATAAGAAATTTTCAAGAAAATTAAAAACTGAGATTAAACCTGTTTTAGGAAATCCAATCCCGCTTCACGAAAGGCCTTCTGTACTTATAATAAGCCATTTCTAGTCTCAGGGGTACCTCCACTCTGAAGATAAATCAAAACATTCAATTCAATAACATTTCCAACTAACATCATGCCTTTAACACGGGTTTCCCTTGCTCATATACTTTGTAAATAACCAAAATACAAGAATTGCAAGCATGTTAGCTGAGATATAGAAAGTTTAGACCCTACCTTTCTTTAGTCCAAGCAAGACTAGCCCAAATTATCAAAGCAATTTACCAAAACAATAAAACAAAAATGTCACACCAGAGCTTTTTTTCATGAAAATATATCATTTCAAGAGTTTACACAAAGTTTCTTTACACTTTTGAAAATGAAAAAAAAAAAAAACAGATTTATAGTTATTTTGAGAAATGAGAAAGTATTTTGAGTAGCCTCTAAAAAAAGATGGAAGATTACAACTATCTAAAATATTTAAAAAAATTGAAAAGTGTTTTAAGTGAGTAATAGATAGAAAAATCGTGTTTAAACACAACTCAAACATTATCTTGTTCAAAACATAAACAAACATGTCCTCACAATTCCCGACAAAAAAATTGAAGGGAAATTAAACTCCATTACAAACAAACTAGCATGGACCGTATCACAGTGTCTAGCACGGGTTGGAAAATTCAAACGGAGAGTCTCTAATTTTTTTTCTCCTTTATTTTGACACTCCTTGCAACCGCGGCTCCATTTCTTCAACAAACTCATCGGTGAACCCGACCCGGCTCACGTCGAGATACAGCCCGATTTCCTTGTGTTGGTTAAGCCAGTCAACGTAGCGCTGCCATAGCGCGCGGGGATCCTTCTCGAGACGGTGGATTGTTGAATATTCAATCAAAATGTTTTAAATTGCTACAAGAAAGTATTTTTAAAATCTATTTATAATAAAATTAAAACTTAAGTCATGTTTTAAAATTTTAAATATTAAAGCATAATTATAATATAATTAAAGTAATATTAAAACAAAAAATAAAAGGACTAATTTTATAATTCAAAATTGTTACAAATAAATAACATCAAATTTTATGGGGAGGGGAAGGTCGAAAAAATATGCGTCTCAGCCACCGAAATCGAACAATGGAGGGGGAAATCCACGGCGGAATCACAGAAAGAAACATCAAAGAAGACGAATGAGAAAGGGAAAAAGAAGGCTGAAGAAGAAAATAGAGATTCATCGCGGTTAGGGTTTGATGAAAACCCTAAATTCGGAAGCGGAGATGTTCCAAAGAAAACGGAGAAGGGAAGTATTGAAGGTGAGAAGTTGTGGGTGGGCATCATTTGAGGCAACATGAACACTGCAAATGGGATGGCTATTCAATTCGTGGCACCGAAAGTTGTTGATGACAAGTTTGAGGTTGAAATTGAGGTTGAAATTGAGGAAGAAGATGTTGCAACGGAGGTTTGATTATGGGAAACATCTACAATCATGCATGTTATCGGTGCAGACTTGAGCATGAATGTTGTGAAGAACTATATGATGAAGACTTGGAATTTTGTCTCCTTGTCTGAAATGTATTACAATGATGAAGGCTACTTCGTTCTCAAGTTCAATACGGAAAATGATAGAGATGAAGGGACCTTATACATTTCGAAACACGTCGATGGTGCTTTTAGAATAGAGACCAAATTTCTCTATGGAGATGGACATGTTACGAACCATATCAACAGTGGCGAAGCCTGAAAAATTATAAAGCTTGGGTAAAATTTCAAAGACCGCAAATTCACCCACTTCCTTCGCGAACTCGAACAACAGAATGAAATTGATCTATGATTTCACATTTATTTTGGTCTCTCACTAACTAAGAAATTTTGGTTCAGAGTCTGGGAATGTGTTCAGCCTGGCCAGGCCTTGTATCTTCCACTGAGCTACTATAATCTTGAACTATCTCTCAGCCTATTTTCTTGGACATTATTTTTCAAAAAATAATTAAATTATCTTATAAGTTCTTTTTTTAATTATATGTAATGCACCAGGTATTTTTAACTTATCCTAATAGCACTATTCATGCTATTGATCCAAGAACTCAGTGATAATTCCACCAAATAGACCTGATTATATATAAAAATATATATATAATCTGAGATGGAAGAAGATTAGCATTATACTTCAAGAACATCTTTACCTTATCTGATATGAATGTCAAGTTCAAATATAATTATCAAACTAACCTCCTGTGTTGCAAACAAAAAACGAAAAAACAAGGCCATCAAGATTAGAATGTTATTAGAATATGAAAATCTATTAAACTTCTTGTAAGAAAAAAAGGAAGTTACCTTGTGTGAAAAGGCACATAGTTACCATTTGTGTCTGGAAATTGAAGAGAAAATAAAATATGAGATGTTGTTCAAAAATTACATTCGTATAAAGAAGTCGAACAAATGGGCACACAACTATTAAGAAGCATGATGCTATAAAATCATACAAGTGTCAAACACTAACGCGTGTCAGACACTGTGACATGCCTACACCTAGAGGTATATGTGTTATATTGAAGGAAACACATTTAAGTTTTGTCCTATTTTAAAATCTTGATTTTATAGATAATTCACAAATCATAACTAAAAGGATAAACACTGAGTACCCTTTAATCAGTTTAATGCATAAATAAAAACCAATTTAAAAGTATGTAAAAGAAAATCATGAACTGATATCAAAAGACCAAAACATATATAGCAGCAAAATAAGAATGTACCTTTCCCAGGAATATAAACCAAACCACACCCTTGACTAAAATTCACACTAGGGTTATACTTCTGATGCAACTCAACATCAACTTTAGTCTTATTCGAAATCAACTCCAAAGAATCCTCACTTCTAACAGGATAAGTAATAAACAAACCATAATGCTTAGAAACATGACTATTCCCACAAGAACAATTAACAGTAAGAGTTCCAGTTTCAGGAATATTATCTGATGAATATTATCTGCAGCAACTTAACATCGTGATGTGAAAGAATTGAAGCGAAAAGAGGCGAGAAATTGGTTAAAGCATTTTATCGAACACCTTGCGGATAATACTAAAAGCTGTATTTTTTTTACATTTTTAAGAGGTAAACATTCATCCACTTAACTTCATAATGATGTATGCTAGTATTTAGAATAAATACCGAAACTTCAAAACTAGAAGTGACTCGAAATTGTATCGAAAAATTAACTCAAAACTATGAAAACCGAATCGTAAAAAGTAGCCTACCATAAAAAAGAAGGAAAAACTCTAAAACATTAAAGAAATTGTTCTGGACTGGGCCGGACAGGCCCAAAAGCACTACTAAGGCCCAATCCAAAGGGACCCACTAAGGACCACACTGGGCAAAGGGGGTCACATCCATGCCCGACACCCTGATGTCCACCTCGACACCTCGATGTCCACCTCCACGTGGTGAAGTCATGCTCGACACCCTGCCATCCGGCTCTGTGTCCTGGCGTCCAGCTCGACACTCGCTGTCCAGCTCGAGGTCTTGGCGTCGAGCTCGGCACCGTGCTGCGCAGCTCGACATGGGCTCGAGCCACCCGGCTAGGGCAGACTCAGTCCACCGTTGCCCCAACGATACTCCGGAAAGACCGCGTCTTCGTCCGCCCGCACTTCATGCAGCACATCCAGGAAGGGGGCCACGTGCTGGTCCCCACTACCCACGTAGAACCTGGCAGTTCCTCCATTGGGCCAAATCCGCCCGGCCCAATGAAGGAACCTTGGCCCAGCGCTGGGGGCTATAAATACCCTCTGTTTCCAGAGGATCAGGTATTCATCATTCTAACCTCAACTCTATTATCTGCTCGTACTCCCACTGACTTTAGCATCGGAGTGCCTTGCAGGTACCCCCCCCTCCTCGTTCAAAAAGCTTTCAGCTCGGAGCTAGCCGTGACGGTCCAAACCTTCTGATCAGGTCAGATCAGTGGCGCCGTCTGTGGGAAACAGCTTCCCCGTCTAACGAACAATTCCAAAGACCAAAGCTCAATCCATTCACTGTCATGGCTGATCCAGCTCGTGAAGAACAGCACACCCGCGTCATCGACGCCAACAACGGTCCCGCGGACAAGAATGGGCACCTCGACAATCTCGGTGATCCCGGCCGCAATGCCACCCCTGCGACAACCGCCCCTGGACCTTCCACCCGCAGGGACGGGAACACTGTGTCTTCCTCGACGACCCCTCCAGCACTCGAAGACGACCCGGAGGCTCTCGCCTATCGCCAAGCTGCCCGGTTCTATGAAGTCCAAGTCCCTGCCGGGGCAGATGCCACGACTCAGGCACTGTTCGCGGCCATCAACCAGACAAATTATCTCCTGTTCGCCCAAGGAGAAAGACTAAGGGCACTTGAAAATGATCGGCGACCCCCGAGGAGGCATCAGAGGCCACCATCTCCACCTCCTCGGGTCGAAGAAGTTCGACACCCTACTCCCCCGCGGAGACATTACAGGGAGAACTCTAGGAGCCCCTCTCCCCCACCAAGGCAGAGGCGGCCCCAGTATGAAAGACAGCCCGTCATCCCTACCGAAGAGCCCAGTCGCGACCCATCAAGGCACGACAGGAGACATAACAGAGACGGGCGTGTGACCTTCAACCACCGAGCATCACGCTCGAGGGAATCTCAGCACGACCATCGTGCCCGGCATAACTACAGGACCCCTTCTCTTTCTCCAGAAAGGAGCGACGAGGACGACCCCCGCGGTCCCCTGTCGCAGGCCATCATGGACGCACCTATTCCCCCGGGCATGGAGAAGCCCCCGCACCTGAAGGAGTATGATGGAGTGGCGGACCCAGTCGACCACATTGACGGGTTCGAGGCCATGCTCCACTATCACAATGTCGGGGGGCCCATCAAGTGCCGTCTCTTCCCAACAACTCTCAGGAAGGCGGCCATGGACTGGTACAAAGGACTCGCCCCGGGCTCCATAACCTCGTGGCGGAACCTGAAGAACCAGTTCATCAGTTCCTTCACAGCTTCCCGTCGCCACCCGAAGACTGAGGCAGCCCTCGAGGCCATCATCCAAAGACATGATGAGACCTTGAGGGAATTCATCAACCGCTTCAACCGGGAAGCAATACAGGTCCCCTGCGCGGACCATATGAAAAGGTACTTGCTGGAGAGGGGCCTCCTCCCCGGCACAGAATTCAGAAAAGCTGTGGGCATAGAGCCACCTGCAACTTTTGATGCTCTCCTCGACAAAGCCCGAGCATACATGGACTACGAGGAGAGAGAAGCTGCCAACAGGGCACGAGACTCCAGGGCTCGCAATCATGGCAGCAGCTCGAGACAAGACCCTCCTCCCCGACGGACCGGAGAGAAGAGGAAGGAAGATCGACCCCGGGAGGTCCGGGAACAAAGGGGCCCCTCGGGCCGGTTCACTGAGTACACTCCGCTCACAGCTTCCCGCGAGCGTATTTTGGCGGAGTGTGCTAGCACAGATTTTAAAGACGGTGGCGTCAAGCGTCCCCGACCAGCTCCTGCCAAGCCAGGAGTAGACAAAAACAAATACTGTCAGTACCATAGGAGTCATGGTCACTTGACAGAGGACTGCGTCCACCTGAAGGACGCCATCGAAACCCTCATCAAAGGAGGGAGGCTTGCACAGTACAGGCGAAATGACGCTCCCCGTCGGGACGCCCGCGAGGCAAAGGAGCCAGAAGAAGATGCCCGACCATCTGACGAGTCGGTGCCAATCCAGACCGCCTTCTCGGTAACCAGGCCCGAGGATTTCGAACTTCCCGAGCTCCTGCAGGAGCCCCTGACGATACACAGCAGGTGGGAATACTTCCCCTCCGCCATGGTCATCAACGGGGGCGGGTTCAACGACCTCACCATCAACTCAGCCAAGAGGAAGTTGGACGAACTGGTCGACAAAGCTCCTCCACAAACTGTGACTTTCGAAATGGTGAGGGGCAGATCAGAGCCTATCACCTTCTACTTGGAAGAGCTCCCCGGCGGAGCACCGAACGCAGTCATCCCCTTGCTGATAAGGGCAAAGATGGCCAATTTTGACGTACATCGCATCCTGGTCGACGAAGGGAGTTCCTTCGACGTGATGTACACCCAGCTGTTCCGGACCTTACAACTGGACGACTCACATCTGTCTCCGTATATAGGTTCGGACCTTCAAGGCTTCAACGGCTCGACTTCCAAACCTTGGGGATATGTCGAGCTCCTCGTGACGTTCGGGGAAGGAACTGCTACAAGACAGGTGAAGGTCCGCTTCCTCGTCATTGACTGCCCGTCCCTATACAACTGCATCTTGGGGAGGCCGACATTGGCAGAGCTGACAGCGGTTCCCTCAACTGTCCATCTAAAAATGAAGTTCTATACCAAAAGGGCAAGGGTAGCCACCATCCAGGGCGACCTCGCTGCTGCCCGCAGGTGCTTCAACGCCGCCTCAAGGGGACGGGACACAGTCGACGTGGGTACCAGCACAAGGCCCATCAAGAAGACAAAGCAAGAGCCCGACAGAGCATCTCCCGAGGTAGAAGTTCAGAAGGCTCCACCAAAGGTCGACTCCATAGCCCTCGACGCCCGCTTCGACCAAGACGAGCCAGCCAGCAACGAGCAAATCCCCCTCCGACCTATTCCGGACGGAGATTTCGAACTCGTTCCCCTCGGAGCAGACCCGACCAAGGGAGTGAAGATTGGCAAGGACCTCCCCGACTTGGCCAGGAAGCAAATCAAGGCCTGTATGCGCGAGAATG